GTGGGTGCCGATTTCGACAGCTTCAATTTTGGTTTCAAAAGTGTCGAACACAAGGGCCTCTTTGTCAACTTGTCTGTTTTCTGTTTGGCTCCAGCCAAGAAGGCCAAGCTACCAGACTTAGCCAAATCTCCCCTCAGTGGTGGTGGGGGAGGCAGCATAGCCTAAACTTGAGGAATTTGTGCCATAGCAGGACAAAGAGAGGACTCAGGCAGTACAGTGTGGAGGCGGGCTGCCCTGTTTTTACATGTTTGTTTCATGAATTTTGCACAGTGAGGACAGGAGTCCATCCAGTGTCCTTCTCCCAGGCACAGAAGACAGAGATCATGACTGTTGGTCAAAGGGAACTTAGATATGCAGCCACAGTACTTTTTAAAGAAGACAGTCCCTTCCATAAGTTGTATCTTCCCAGGAAGGGAAAGGGGTGGGGAAGGGGTGGGGGAAGGTTGGAGGAACAAGAAGACAAAAGAACTTACGAACAGCAGGACAAATATATATTTTTGAAGGTCAATGAAAAGGAGAAGAACGAAGACAAAATAACGGAGAGAAAAGTGAAGGAACCGATGAAAAGGTGTCGAAGAAGGTCAGTGAGGAGAAAAAGTAACAAGGTGGCGCCAGTGTGTTGGTTAAAAAGTAACTGAGCAGGAGGGAGCTTTCTCCTCAGCTCTAGGCATGCGTAGTCAATGCCTGCTCCCCAGAAGTGCAACAAAAAGTGTGGAAGATTAGCTCTAGAAACTTCTGAGGTTGGGTCCTGTGCAGACGCGTTACCCAAGTGTGGGACTGCAGAGATCACAAAGAAGATAAATTGTTCCCATGACTTGCATTGTATATTGAAAAGGATTTTAATTGTAAAACACTTTGGGAGCCAATGTGGATGGAAAATGGGAATACAGTGTTTGCTGCTTTAAGGGCCATGTAGGATACATTTATAGAACCCACTATTAGGTCCCTGCCACACGGCAGGGAATAAGACGCTCGTACTGCGGCTAATGTGAGCCGCAGCAAAGTTGGGACGGCGCGTCGGGATCTCACAGATCCCCTGAGCCGCGTCGCAACGCTCCCCACCACGATCAGATGCCGGGGAGAACGCGACGGTGGGACGGGGAGCCTGGCGAACTGCGCATGCTCACGCATGCGCAGTTCGGCCAGGAGCCGGGGATGCGCCGGCGCAAGGATGCGCCGGCGATCCCACGGCCAGCGTTGCTGCGGCCCTTCAGAAAGAACCACCTCGGGAGGTGGTTCTTTTTTGGCGCGGAGCAACGCTGGGACGGATCCGGGACGGATCCGGCACGCTCCCCAGATGTTGAGGTGGGATCGCGCCGGTTTGCTCCGCCCCCGTTCCGTCCCGCTCCCGGCCCAAATGGGCTCGTATGAACAGGGCCTATAGTGTTCAAAATAAAGTCAACCAGAGGTCATTTCGGGGGGGATCGCGGGGGATCGCAGTTCCCCGGGTGAGGTACGGGGGCGGGGCACATGATGAAGCCCCGCCCCCTGCTTACGGCCGCCCCGCTTCTGGTCCTCATTCAGCCAGAAGGAGGCAGGAGAAGAGGGAGGGTAAGTTGCTTCCTCCCTGCCTCTCCCCACCCCTGCCTGCCTGGGGCCAGGGAGGGCCTTCGCGGGGCTTCCTTGCACTCCCGCCGGCCTTGCAGGTCCACCGCCGGGCCCCTCATGGGGCTCAGCAGTGGAGCTGCAAGGCCGGCAGCGGCTGGGACTGTTGGGGGCGGGGTGTGTGGCCTTATGACACACTTCCGGTAATGTCAGGGGGTGTATGCTAATGAGTTATGCTAATGAGTTCCCCTAGCTCTTTTTCTACGAAACGACCCCTGAAGTCAACTAATTTTCATAGTTTAGTATGTTGCCTCCTAGCCACTCATCAAGGTCAAAGTACAGCATCTCAGCATCATATTGACATATCAGGGGGGGAAATCCTGTCTTTAACATCTGAAATCAGAATTCAGGCTGAACCATTTGCTGCAATACTAGCCAAACAGAATGCTTCTTCAGGTTTACATGATGAAGTGAAAATCAGAAAAGACTGAGGAATCATCATATTATTATTGAAGATCAACAGCAGTCCTGAAGTTGCAGGCTTGCTGACTTGCTTATTTTGTACTGTGCAAGGAATACCAAAATCCCACAGAGTACCAGTTGTTGCACTGGTCTGGGGACTGGGATCAGGTTACAGCACTGGGGCAAAAAAGGCACATTGTCCCTCTTGAAATACTCCAGGCTTTAAAACCTAACACTTTAAATCCTATGAGTTTCTGAACACATGAGCATGCCTTATATTGAGTTAGACCATTATTTTATCAAGGTCAGTATTGTCTACTCTCCTCTGACTGGCAGAGTTTCTCTGGGGTCTTAGGTACAAATCATTCACATCACCTGCTACATAAACCTTTTAATCAGAGGTGTCTGCAATTGAATCCGGGGCCTTCTACATGCAAAGCAGATGCTCTCTCGCTGAGTTAAGCCTCCCTCTGCTTTTGCAGTGGCTCAAAAGAGCAAATTGTAAGTATATTCAGTTTTGCAAATATGTGATATAGCTAAATGTTTTGATGTTTAACGCAAAGGGGTCATAACATGGTTTAGTTATTCAAATTCAAGAGTTAGCTTGCATGCTCCTTCTCCCCCATCTTGATGTCCTCAGATTCTGTCCCTCCCATCCATGGCAAAGTGAGTAGTTTGCCAACAAATATGAAAGGAGGGAAATGCAGACAGTGTGCATTGGGGAGAAGTATGTGAATATGTAGCACATTCCTGACACCCCAAATGATGGTTTGTGAGCCAACACAGAAGCTAGTCAAACCACAAAATTGATTTTCAGACAAATAAATGTAAATATGGCAATAACCATTTCAATTGCAAGAATATAAGAAAACAGTGTTCTTCAAGAAAACAAAATTTTGATTCTTGCTTTTTTCTATTATAATTTGGTAAGTAAGGCTATGAAAAACTCAATAACATCCCTTCTACAAGTTTCATTTTAATACATCCAATAATCTTCACACCACTAATTCTACATTAGAGATAAAATCTTCTAATATGTCAGTATCACCACAAGAATAGTTAATCCCACTTTAGACTAAAATTACACTTAATACCTGAAATGAAAAGGGTATAATGAAATGTCACTAAGATTATGACATTAAGATGTAACTGAAGTACTTTTTTTTGCTTTTGATTAAACAAAGCTAAGAGAATCCAAGCCTACAGGCTAATAGCCATTAATCATTACCAGTTTAGAGTCTGGTGTCTGTCAAAAATTTGCTTTTTATGTATGTGTGTGTACCCTAGCATAAAGCACAATTTGATACTATAATGAATATGTGAGGAGACATGATATATTCAGGATGATTCCCAGAATACCACTGAATATCTTTTGAAAACTAATAATATTCAGAGCCTCTCTCAAATATGGCAGCTGTTGTCTTTTTCTGATATTTCTGCTTCTAAAACAGCAGCATTAAAAAAGAGCCTTGGAGGTTATGATGCCCCCGCCCACTTCCCTCCCTCAGAGGCAAGATTTTCCCTCCGTTTTTCTTTCCCTTCTTTGACTGAGCTGTCCTAATTATTTGTTTTCTTCTTTCCTGAAGAATTCTGGCTGTCCCACCCTGTCACGGTATAATGTTTTGGCTGTTTGCCAGGAAAGGTTAGGTGAAATCAGGGGTAAAATTTCTGAGGTAAAACCAGTACATGCACATACTTTAGTTCTTATGTTTCGGGTTAATGAGATTTCTTAAGCTATTCAGTTACTTAAAATCTTTATGCCGAGAAGCTTTTGTTCCACTGTTTTCTAAACACCCTAGTACACTTTCTTTGAGTTTTCTCTGACTCTTTTGGTTTCCAGAAGGTTGGTACACTCTTTTACTCTTTCCAGTACCCAAACCCCTTTTCTTGAAACACCAGTACTCGTCTTGAGTTTTCAATTGACTCTTAAGGTTTATACAGGCAGTTTCTAACTACACCAGACCAGGGATCTCTGCACTCTTCAGAGCTAACTCCCTTTGACTGGGTAGAGACTTTTCTTCTCTCTCTAAAAGATCGATCCCCTTTCCTTGACCTGAATGGGAGTCGCCACTCATCCACTCATCCTTGCCAACATTCTCCAGTTCTCCCTTCTGTGTTAAACTGCTCTCAGTCAGGGCTGCATTCCAAATCTGTCAGTTCTCTTTTCAGCTAGGGCTGAAAATCAGACTGTCAGAATGCAACTCAATCAAGGCAGAAATCTGACTCCTCAGCATGCAGCTCTCTAAAGACTTTCTCCTCAGCTGATGCTAACCAATCAGATTGCTTGGAGCAGCCTATCACTCAAGGCTCTCTGTCTCTGTGAAGAATTAACTCTTCACAGTCCTTTACCTGTTTGTACAGCACTTCTAAGCTTTTAAAAATTACAGTCCGTCACAGAGGGATGTTTTTCATACACCAAAAGGAAACCGTAAAAGAGTAAGAGTTCTAATAATGAAAGCAGTATTATCATCTCAACAGATGGAAAGGATTCAAAATGAAAGATCTTTGTTTTTGAAGGCAAAATACATCTTTTTTGAATAATTTGATTAATAGATGCTTAAAACACAGTGAAAGTCCAAAAACTGAATTATAATCAATATGACTTAGCAAGGCTCATTCATTTCAAAAGTCACTATCTAACCACAAATGACAAAAGACAATCCTTATGAATAAAAAAAATCTGTCCTGTAGTTCATCAAAGAAAATGCACTGTTCCCATAATTTTACCCATGAATAACTGGTCCTCAACAAACCTAATATTGGATTTTAGTACCTTGATGAAATACAACACATTTCATACCACTGAGGGAAGTGATATGAGAAGAACCCATAGCTTACTAAAATATATCTAGATAATGGGGCTTCTTAAAAAACAGCACAAAAGCAGAACACAAAGTTTTATCAGTGACACATCACAACCTGTACTGAATCTTTGCATCCCAACTAGTTACAGCAATTCCACTTCAACCTAATAGGAATCTCCATTCCTTTACCTCATAAGGCAATTTATCGAAATATCCATTAGTTGCTGATTCCCTCAAGGCAGTTGCACTAAACTGCTTATGCAGGAAATCCAAGCCATCATCCATCTCTTCATCTTCATCATCATCCACATCATCCATAGCAATCATTGTAGTATTAAGTGAAAGCACAGGCCTCTCTCTCACACCATGTAATACTACTGCATCCAATTCAGTGTAATAATCCAGAAGGGAACTATTTAGTTCCAGGCGAATTAGGTTTGTAGGAAAGTTTATCTGTTTGATACACGGTGAAAACTGCCGTGCCTGAGGTGAATTCACTTTCGTAGGTGCTTCTGACCAAAGGACTTCCCACCTAAAAAAGAAAATTGTATATAAAGTACCATTGTTACTACAAAGATAATTACTAATACTAATTAAGTTCCTTTTTGTTAAAAAACACACGTATGAAATACATAAAAATGTAGTTCATAGAACACTTTAAAATAATTTATATTCCACAAAAGAAAAATGAAAACCTGAGGAAGAAAAAGGTTAGATAATATATGAACGTTACTCACCAACTCTTCAGTTTTAATTTCCTTTTAACATATCTGTATTTACACAGGATTTTATTTAAAAAATAAAAATGAGCTCTTACAGTGAAGATGTATTTCAATAAATAAGTGAACCAATTAAAGCAGTCACATGAAGAATTACAGGTAATTAAAAGTGAAGTGACAACATACCTCTGTGTGTGTTTTAGACAGAGGCTGTGTGGAGTACATCGAATATTTTGCACAGAAAGATTTTTCTTGGGAGAAGGGGCTGTGGCTCTGCTGTAGAGCATCTGTTTGGCACACAGAAGGTCCCAAATTCAATCTCTGGCATCTCCGCTTAAAAGGACTAGGTAGTAGGTGATGTGCCTGAGTCCCCAGAGAACTTGTTGCCAGTCTGAATAGACATTACTGACCTCAAGGGAACAATAATCTCATTCAGTATAAGGCAGCTTCATGTGTCCTCCTGGGCAGGAAATAATCCTGAATTTAGAAGTACCAGTCCCAATAGAAAAAATGGTAACCTTGGAGGCTAAAACATTCGGGCTTTTAGTAACACCAGAAATATGGACAATCCCCCCTTTAAAACCTTTATGTTCTCCAATACCCTGAAAATTTTAAAAAAGGATTTAAAGATAGTGGGATGTCCTTGCTAAGATAATTTATCAGGATGGAATTATGAAACCTCGTCTCTTGAATACCTACAATAATGGTTTATAATAAGCAAGCAATGTAAGCAACTAACTTGAGTTAAAGATAGTGGGATGTCCTTGCTGAGATAATTTATCAGGATGGAATTATGAAACCTCATCTCTTGAATATCTACAATAATAGTTTGTAATAAGCAAGCAATGTAAGTAACTAAACTTGAGTTTCAGTACAAAGTCCCTTCCATACAATGGAGCCTTGACTTATAACAGTTACATGGAGCACAAACTCAGACAGCAAAATTAAGGACTATACCAATCACAGAATGCTGGAAAGACCCATATCTAATTAAGCATGGTTGCACTTACCTGTAACTATTGTTCGCAGAGTGGTCTTCTGTGCAGGTACACATGAAATCACACATGTGCAGCCCAGCATTCTCAAACTCTTAAGCTTTCTAGCTCTTTCTAGGCTCCAGAACGCTCCCCCTCCCCTCTGACATAAGATGGAGTTTCCCGCCCAAACCAGCGTGTGATGGAGGTGGGGAAAGTGCTCCTTCCCTCAGTCCTCCCTTTGCCACCATGGAGAAGGATTCCACAGCAGAGGATCCCACAGTGGGGAAAGGAGGGAGGGATGTGTGCCTGCACAGAAGACCACTTGACAAACAGCAGTTACAGTTAAGTGCAACCATGTTTTTGTCTTTGTGGCTTCTGCACAGTCCCACATGGGTGAGTAGCAAGCTAACTTACCATTGGAGGTTGGCGTGAGATCCTCAGCAAAACAATGGCTTTCCCCACTGCTTTCCCCACAGCCACATCTCTCCTGGAGCTGATGTCAATTGCATAGTGCTTGACGAATTTCGAGACTGATGACCCTGTTGCTGTCCTGCAGATGCTCAACAATGGAACTTTCCCCAAAAAGGGAGCAAAGGGAGCCCTGGTTGAGTGTGCCTTAACTGGGAGCAGACAGTCAATCTTAGTAGGCTAGTCTAATGCAAGAGACGACCAAGTGGAAGATGGTCTGAGAAGAGGCTGTTACAGATACCCTGTGAGGTAGGTGGGGCTGAGAGAGCTGTTAGAGAACTGCTCTTGAGAGAACAGCGCTGAGAAAACTGTGATTGACCCAAGGTTACCCAGCTGGGTTCTGCCACTAGTTCCTCTAAATAGTGCTGTGATATTTTAAAGGTTGGCACCAGTAAATTTACATAGTCAGGTTATAGGGTACCAGAATGCTGAATGGAGAAGACTGCAAGGTTGCTTGTATCTTTCCTTCTCATTTCTCTTTTGACATCATAAGGCCATGGCCTATGATGTCAAATGTGCCTACACATAAAACACTAACAAAAATCCTGCAAAATATAGTTACTGCAAAACTCCTAAACAGATGAACTGCATTCTCACACATTCCTTCTCCTCTAGTAGTGAGTACTGCAAACAGCCAGCATGGCATACCTTTATTTATTTATTTATTTATTCATGCATTTCATGAAGTTCAGAAAAACAGATCCATTCAAATGTGGATTGAGAATAATAAAGGTAGGGGATATTATCCATCTAGCTCAATACTGAAAACTATGTAAGAAAATAAAATATTTTTTTGTCCCTCATATTCAAAAGCAGTACTTACTAAATCTTTGCTTTTCTTTAATGCATTCTTCACATAATTTGTTTGGATAATTCTTTATCTGCTAAATCTTAGAATGAAACTTTCATGTATAAAAGACAAACCAGAGTCTCAAAATAAGATACTCAAACCAAGGCCAAGAACTAAATATGTTAACAATATATTTGCTATATGAATAAAGATAAGTCTAAGGGCTTGAATGTTTTTATTAAATAATTTTTCCTCAATTTATCTGCTGGTCAACTACTAGTATACATTTTTTTAAGTCAACATCTAACTTAGAATCTCAAAAACAGAAGAGTAAAGCTCTAATTTCAACATTGCCTATTTCATCTGTAGGGATTATATATGCATTAATGTTTTGGGGTATTTTTGCCATGAAATCACAGCTGACTTATGGTGACCCCATAGGGTTTTCAAGGCAAGAGACTAACAGAGGTGGTTTGTCACTGCCTGCCTCTGTGTAGTGACTGTAGTATTCCTTGGTGGTCTTGCATTCAAATACTGACCAGGGCCGACCCTGCTTAGCTTCAAAGATTCCACAAAATTGGGCTTGTTGTTGTTGTTCAGTCGCACAGTCGAGTTCGACTCTTCGCGACCCCATGGACAAGATCTCGCCAGGCCCTCCTGTTTTCTGCCGTCCTCTGAAGTTTGCTCAATTTCATGTTCGTTGCATCTATGACACTGTCTAACCATCTCATCCTTTGCTGTCCCCGTCTTCTTTGACCTTCAATCTTTCCCAGCATCAGGGTCTTCTCCAGTGAGTGCTCCCTTCTCATTTGGTGGCCAATTTGGGCTAGCCTGGGCTATCCAGGTCAGGACACGGTTTTCTATACATGTATCCAATTCAATGTATGTGATTGGCAGATACAAATGCAGAGACCAGCTGAGCTCTGAGCAGGAGCAGGAGAGAGAGCTGTGAGAGAGGTGAGTGGGTTTCTTTTACTTGCTTTCAGCTGAGAGAATTCAGCTAAGGATATTTTGTGGGAAAACTGTGTTTAGCAGTGTGTGGAAGCACTTAGAGTTCTTGCAGAGTCCTGGCTGATTGAGTGTGGGAGAGGAACGGGCATTGTTTGACTGGGATTGCCTGTAATTGAGAGGAAGTGGAAGGGGCATTGTTTTGCCTGTGATTGAGTGCCTGGGTGAATTTGAATTTGAATAGCTGCTGCCTGACCTCTGCTGGGGGAGGCCTCTATTTAAGGAAGCACCTTGGCAGAGGCACGAGCCTCTGGCACGAGCCGAAGGGTGAGCTAAAGGGCTCTTTGCCTGTGGCTCTTAGCCTAGGGACTCTTAGACTAGGGGCGCTGTAAGAAGCCCAAAAAGAGCCAGAAAGACAAGGCCCTAGGCTCTTTGTCTTTCCCGTAAAATAATTTGACTTGATAACAAAACCCACATAAATACCAAGGGTTTAAAAGGGGGATTATATTTATTTATTTTAAAAGAATTATGAAGCCAGAATGCCAGCAGGGGGTTGGGGGCTATCCAGTGTTTTGCACGGAGTGTCACATGTATGACTATCTGCCCACTGGGCAGAAGTCTTGGGTGTGTCCTCGGTGCAAGGAGCTCCTGGTTCTCAGGGAACGTGTGTGCTCCCTTGAGGCCAAGGTGGCTGACCTGGAGAAGCAGAGACAGTCAGCTAGGCACACAGAAAAGACTCTCGGGGACTTGTTAGCTTCGTCCCACTCTGGATCTGGCAGCCCCGCTGCTGTCAGGGAGCATGAGGGTCTAGGGGAAACAGGGCACCATGCTGAGGATAAGGGGAATGTGCCCTCAGAAGGGACCTCTTCCCCAGCTGGTGAGCGGCTCTCCTTTTGCACCAAGGAACCATCCCTGAGCAGGGTGGGAGGGGGGCTCTTGGTAGTGGGTGATTCGATCCTTAGGCAGGTAGACAGCTGGGTGGCGAACCCGCGTACTGACCGTATGGTGACTTGCCTGCCTGGTGCGAAGGTAGCGGACATTACGCGTGTTTTAGATAGGCTGGTAGATAGTGCTGGGGAGGAGCCAGTGGTCGTGGTGCATGTCGGCACCAACGATGTGGGGAAATGCAGTCGTGAGGTCCTGGAGGAGAAATTTAGGCTGCTGGGCAGGAAACTTAGGTCCAGGACCTCCAAGGTAGCCTTCTCAGAAGTGTTACCTGTTCCACGCGCAGGGCCGGAGAGACAGGCAGAGATCAGGAGTCTCAATGCGTGGATGAGACGATGGTGTAGGGGGGAAGGGTTCAGGTTTGTTAGGCACTGGGATACTTTTTGGAACAAGAGGGAGCTGTACAGGCGAGACGGTCTCCACTTGTCCCGAGAAGGAACCAGGCTGCTGGCACTTAAAATCAAAAAGGTGGCAGAGCAGCTTTTAAACTGAATATTGGGGGAAAGCCGACAGGAGATGAAAAGTCTCTGGTTCGGGTTGGCTCATCTGAGAGAGGTGAGGGGGTACCGGTTGCTTTTCTACAGGGAGGTGGATTGAAATTGTCCACAGAGGCCATGGCTGGTGACATGGACTGCCGGACAACGACTCGAGATAGCAAGAGGAAGGATGCAGGCTTAACTTGTAA